TTAAGGCCTAAGCAGCCCATGGATTCCCCTTCACAAGGATTTGGACGAAAATCCTTAGGGCCTCCCTAAAGCTTTCGTCCAACCCTCTTTAGGGTTGTCCAAGAGCCCAAAACCACAACTATTAATTAATTGCTAAATAGCCCCTATACTTTTAATTAACTCCTTTAATCCCAAAATTAATTCCAAATTAATTTATGATTAAATATTATTTAAATAACATGATTTCTAATTAATATGTTATTTTCATAACATATTAATAAATCATTTATTCCAATTTATTATTCAAATAATAAATTTAATCTCTCACTCCAAAAGTCATCATGTTTAGTTGCTAGTATGAAGGCAACCCAAAAGGAACGTGCTACTATCAATTCAAGTACATACCAATTATAGCTATGGGCTTAGACACATAATCCAACAATATAAACTAGCAATAATAGTCTACTTTGAACAATCTAGTACATTTTTAAATTTTTTTATATTTTTGCGTTAGGACTAGTTTTCTAGTGTTGTGTGGGATGATTCATGAAGAACTCTAAGATTTGGTTTAGCTAATATGTTATAGTGTATTTGTGGCTTCCCAGTTCTGGTGAAATCATGAGACAAAAACGCGACCTTGTGTAGTTTGAGAGACATAATATGTTTTCCTTTGTGAATTCCATGTTCCAAGTATTATATGTTTAATTTATGCACTTTGATTCTAGTTATATATAAAATTAATTAACAATTCAGGAGTGAAGTTAATCTGTGGTCTTTGAGACTCGGTGAGTATTCCCCTAGGGATATTTATATCTATCCAACTATTTGTAAAAACTTGGATGGATAGTAAGAAAATTGTTACATGGGTTTCATCCAAAGTTATAGGTCCCATTAGTGGCTTAAGGAATTCCGAGTACCTCAATGAATTTCTTTGAAAGTCATGAACTATAGTATAGTAAAGATAAAGTAAAAGTATTGTTTGTTTAATTGTGATAGTTGAAGTTGAAGTTATGAAAAAAAAAAAACAAAAAACAAAAAAAAAATGGAAAAGAGAAAAGGTTCCACATAATATGAGTTGTAATGAAGTATAGTTATATTTTAGGATAATTATATTTTATACTACCTCCATCCCATATTTATTATCTATTTTTTACTTTTAAAGTCTTTATTCTTCAACTTTGACCTTAAATATTTTTATTTGTGTTATATATTACTTGATGAAGCTTATAAAATGAAAAGATATTTAAAACACATTCCATACATATATTTTGCATCAAGTATTATATATCAATAATAAAAATATTTAAGGTCAAATTTGAAGAATAAAGACTTCAAAATTCAAAAGTGGACAATAAATATGTGACGGAGGGAGTAGTATTTTTCTTTTTGAAGTGGAGTCGCTTGGAATTTGGCAATAACTTTTGAAATGAATGGGGGTAAATAAAGGGCGTAGGTGGTAGGAATACCAAAAATGAATGTTGTTCAAAATAAGTCGGAAGCGTTTATGAGGATTGTGAGTATTTAGGATTTGGGAGGTACTTAGAATTTCTTAGACACAAATACATGCATTGAGGTGAGGCATAATTAGTGAGCTTTAATTGGATTGTTTTGTATGATATAGGTAGGCAATGTTTTGACGTGACATACTGAAATAAGTTTTTCTTAGGGACAATCAAAAGACAAGTGTGGGGTATTTTGATATTGACATATTTATATACATATTATGGGCTAATACCCTTTTGTTTTCGTTTAGATGAGATGAACCCTAATACTATGTGTTGATTTCTATTTTTATGGATTATTGAAGTTGGATTTAGCTTATGTTTGATAGATCTTCATAGCATGTTAAAAGTTCATATCTTTATTCCTTTCTCATCAAGTTTTTTTTTATTTATGTGGCCATTCATCGCATGAACTTGTTTATCTTAGTTATTTATGATCATTAAATTTCTAGAGCTAGAGGTTGATCATACCCTACTATAACTAGTAAAGTTAGTTGCTTAATTGTGTTAAAGAGCATTATTTGATCATAATAATTGCTTGATTGTCTAATTTTGATCATGGATAGATAATTCTTAGATTTATTCATTCATAGACAAAAGAGATTTTATAATCAATAAGTGTTCTTAATTTGCATGATCATTATGGTTAAGGTTCATAAACTGTAACAACCTGTTATTCTCAAGTATGTAAAAGTCAACCTAAGGTCAACAAAAGTCAAACATGTCAAATAAAAGTCAAAAGTTTATTGATATATATAAACCTTTTATTATAAAAGTGTTGCAAAAATGTAAGTTAATTGTGAGGACCGCAAACTCTCGCATAGAACCACTAAGCCTCGGACCGAAAACAATTCCCAACCGAAAACCTTCACATGACCTTATTCCCTTCGGACCGAAAATTGTTCTCGGCCGAAAACTCTCAGACCGCAAACCCCCTTGGTGGGTTTCCTTTTTCGGCCAAAAACCCTTATGCCGACTCCCTTTTTCCTTCATATTTAAGCAACCTCTTCCCATTTCTTACTTCCAGTGAATGAGATTTCCTTCATTTCTCTCAAATATTAGCCATTTTCTTTCACTTCTAAGAACAAAAACAAATTCAAAGAGTATTTTGCTTCTATATTATTACAAGTTTTGGTAAGTTTTTATTATAAGACTTATGATTATACAAACATATATAATTCGTGTATCAATTTAATCACACTTTTTACGTGATTAAAATCATTAGGATAACGATATCTTTCCTGTGTTCTAACCCGAAGTCATTATTTTCTACCCGTTAACAAAACCGTTATCACACAAAAGGTGAGTTCATACCCCAACATTTTCATGATTTTTCACTATTTTAAGGGGGAATACAAGTGTAACACAATAAAATTTGTGTTAATACCTTAATGTTTTCAATATTTTATTAACTGTTGCCGTTATTAAAATTATATACTTATATATGTATAAATTTATATAATTAGGATTCAACAGGCTTAGAATTGATAATTTGACTCTATTTCCTGTTCTTTGTTTGGTTGTGGGCTTGGGGTAGAATTATTTATTCGACTGTCTATTTAATCACAATTATATAAATATTATATTTATATAAGTATAAAAAGATTTCAAACTCGTTAAACAAAAATTATAAATTTTGCAAATTGTTTTATACCATTTGGACATAAATGTTGAATTTCACGGAAACAATCGTATTACAAATTTTACAAATTAAACAAAGGTTATAATTTCAGTAAAAACACAAAAATATAAACTATAATAGGTATAGTTTATGGAACTTACATATTACATTTCAAAGCTCAGAATACAATTTGAATCATATGCACTACTTTACATACTCAGAAAACATGATGGAAAACAAACAAATAAACTATAATAAATATAGTTTATGAGATGTACTTACAATTTATTCATTTCAAAGAAACTTTTCATTATTCTACACGTAACCGTCAATATAGCATTTGTGAGACACACTTCAAGTACTTATCTAAGTACCAACCAAGTCCTGAAATTATAACCAGAGTCTCCAGGAGGGAGAGCGTGACACTTGTGAATAGATCTATACGGGACTGACAATCCCGCACCAGAGCTGCTTGCAATAGCTAGGCCGGCAGGCCATCTTAGGTCATCAAGCATGGTTATAATAACTCACAATTTGGTATTGAATAATATGATTAGTGTATGAATAAGTAAACAACTTCACATAGTTTTATTTAATAATAAAACTATAATAAAATATCTTACAAGTATAACTGGTAAAACTAGACAGTTACAAATACCCAGTTTTCATACAAGTACAAATATGGAACATTATTTCAGTATAGAGAAAACACATTTTTCATGGTTTTATATGGACGATAACTACATTATACTATTTCAGAGTACAATAACATTTACACGTTTTTAGTACAATACATTACAATATAAAATATAGGATTTTCTGGGAAAACATACTTACATTTTTATGGAACAAACTACAGATTTCAAATACAAACATGCTTATGAACTCACCAACTTAATTGTTGACACTCTTTTCAAAACTAGTTGTATTCTTAGGAAATCACACTACTAGAAAACAACCCTTTAATGACACGCGAACAAAGACACTCGGTGATTTACGATACGTATTTTTTGTGTGTCCTAAAAATGATGTCGAATTTCCAAAATTTGAAGGATAGAGGACGCGCATTTATGCGCGCCCTAAAATTTGTGTCCAAAAAAAAACTACAAACACGGAGGGCACCTAAATTAAATGAGTGTCGTATATATATGTCGTTTTATAAAATTTTATTACGCGCTCCCTCCTTAATAACTAAGGGGCCGGCGGGAAACAAAATCCCCAAATTTTTTGAAGACTTGTTCATTCTCTCCTCTCCAACAATCGACGACTTTCATTTTCTATCTCCCTTCTCTCGGAAACCCTAGCAGCCACCACTACCAGAAATATGGTTTTATGTTGGATTAAAAGGTATATATCACTCTTCTTGAAAGGACTGTGAATAAGGAAGAGTTGGTCAGGAAATTCACTCGATCTTCTGCCACTCTCGTGTTTTCAACACATAAAATACATACAAACCTCGAAGAGAAATTTCAAGTTTTTGAATAAGAAACTGAGATGCTTTCTTCTCTGTCTCCGATGATGGGAAGAGCCCTCAAAAGCCATTGTGATTTCAAAACAAACCCCTACCCCCTAGAGTCCGGACGCTTCTTCTCTTTCGACATCACATAAAATCTAGGATTTCTACTTCTTCTATCCCTTTGATTTTGTCCGAAAAATCCACCATTCTTAGTTTCTCGCCCTCAAATCCACCGTATTTCACCTCTTGCCCCTTTCAGGCATATTTTAATTTATAATATAAGAAATCCGACATTTTCTCAGTTGATTTTGATTCTTTGGTCAACGGAGAAGATAAAACCTGGAAAGAAAGATTCAGAGACCTACACATGAGAGATTATTTCTGTTGTTTTTGGAGTTGCCAACATATTCGCATAGTAATCTAGTCCTTGTTAAGCAGGAAAATGGAAGAAGTGAGAAATCAAAAGGTGATCTTTAAGGATTACGTTAATGGCTTCCCCAAGGAATCAGACTTGATCCTTACAACTTCTGCCACCGTCCCCCTCCAGCTCCCGCCACAAGGTTCCAATGGCGTCCTCCTCAAGAACCTTTATCTCTTTTGTGATCCTTATATGTGTGGTCGAATGACCAAAACTGAAGGCTGTTAGGTTTCTTCCTTTACTCCTGGATCGGTATGAACTCTGCTCTCATTTCTAACTTTCACTTTTTGCAATTTTGGGGAAAACATATTGCAATTGAAAAATCTGTCGTTAGGATTGTGCTTTTCTATTCGAAATGAATTGGGACACCCAAACATTTGTATATTCCAAGTGTAAAATTTGAATTAGAGCTCTCAATCTTTTCAATTGAATCAGAGCACTCAATCTTCTTCCTAATCTTTACCTTTCTGAGTGCATTGGCTTGCAATGAATCATTTTAAAAGAAGGGTTTAAGTTGTCCAATATCTTTCATTTCAAAAACAGCATATAAGTTCTCTTCTTTCTTCTAGAAAATCTCTTGTGATGATCAAATTATCATTTAGCTTTTGTAACTTGCAACTGATAACAGGATATGGAGTAGCTAAAGTTGTAGAATCAGGGCATTCAAACTTCAAGAAAGGTGATCTAGTTTGGGGATTCACTGGATGGCAACAATACAACATTATCACAGCTCCTGATATCCTAGTCAAGATTCAACATACAGATGTCCCTCTTTCCTATTATACAGGAATCCGTGGTATGTTTTCTATTTAATTAAGGATATTTAAGATTCTATAAATTAGGGATTTTGAATTTTGTAAAATGATTTTGTTTTTTTTTTTTAGTGACTTGTGGTTTACACTTTCTCTGTAGAAATCTGACTTAAACTTGTATTAGGTTGTTTCTAGATTCTTGATGCACGCCCATTGTTTGATGTAATGTCAACAACACTTTAGAAACTACCACCTAGTAGTATTGTTGCTAGGTCAACTACTGGATCAATGATCATTCTTGCACACATGATTGTTGTAGCATCTGTTTCCTTAAATTCATAACAGGTGAGCATAATCATCAAACTTTTTTTTTTCAAAATTAAAGTTTACTTTTCTAAAACCTCTCTTATACCAGGTGTTCCCTGAGGATCTTCTTCTTCAACTTTTGAAACTAATGCTGCATCCAGATGTTGAAATATGTTTGATTGGAAAGTAAATATTTTCTGTTCTTTTCATTCCAAATTCTAACCATTTGCGGCGTGATACCGATGCTTCTACTTCTAATCAAACAAGAAGATGGAGTTCTGATACTGCATCTGTGTTTGCCTCTGTTAAATCTTTACTTGATAAGCTTCATGGAGAAAAAAATGGAAAAGAAATTGTTTGTATTCAAGATGGGGATAACAACACTAAGGAAGAAAGGAAGCATTATGGGTGGGCCCACAAGAAATCCCCAAACTTTTAGAAATTAAGTTCCATTACTGCTGCAAAAATGACATTGTCTGATGTAGTAAGCACCTTTCATCATGTTTTAAATGTTGTTTTCTGAATTAATGAGCACAACAATTAAACTGATATAAGTCATGATTTTTTTACTAACATCTTTGGGGGGGTTAATCTGTAAATTTTCTATAAGGTAGGGACCATTTTTATAATTTTTTAAAACACATGGACCATTTATGTAATTGTTTTTGCATAGGGACCGCATGGAAAGAAACCCAAACAAAAAGTGATTCTGATGAAACTTCGGGTCTCTACATAATGTAAAGCATGAACTTTATTCCCATTTACTATTACTTTTCAGTTTCATTTCTCTGATAATTCTTGTTTTTCACATTGCAGATGCACGATGGTGTCCATAAACATTGCAGTTTATCTCTTTGAAATTGCAAGTCCAATAAAGAACTCGGATCTTGAACTCTTTTCACTTCCAGCACTCTAGGTGGAGTCTGTTGACACCAATGTTTCTGGTAGAAGATTGACTAATGGTTTTGTGCCATTTATTTATTTTTATAAAAAGCTCTAACGATTCATATAAATGACAAAAAAATTATGTAAATGTAATCAAGAATAGTAACAACAAGAACTAAAATGTATCTATCACAACACACGGGGATTCTTCATATTGGGCTTTGCTCACATTTGGTCCACAAGTTTGTAGGGCGTATGGCCCGTTTACCTTTTATAAAAAGAAATGAAGTTGTAAAAAGGAATTTGACAAGCTTTCTTCATACCCCTGCTAAGAAACCTGCCGCTGCAACCAAGAAGAAGTTGTAAAAAGGAATGAAGAATATGTAATGCAGAATAGAGATTTTATAAAAAATGAAGAATCTATGCAGATGAATGATATGGAAGTGCTGAGATTAGCTAAAGTTGTTGAAGAGATGAAGTCAATAGTCAAAGGAATCGAGTCAAATCTTACCGAGGTCGGTTTTTTTTTTAAAAAAAAGTGTTGTGTTGATTTCCTCAGGCTAAAGCAACTATTTTACATTTAACAGAAGAAAAAAGATGGCTACTGAAGAGAAATACTTCTTACAGGGAGAATTGGTAAATTCATTCGTTTATCCATTTATTATCCTTGAAACTAAATTATTTAACTTGTCTGAGGTTTTTGTTATGCTAAATTTGTTGATATTGAAGTTTTTACAAAGTAATCCCTTGATTTGTTAAACAAAGTAGAGAGAAAAAAATGTCAGAACATCATGAAACAACACAAGATTCATTTGACATGTGATTATTGTATTGGTTGCCTAAATAATATAAAAGTGACAGCATATAGTCTTGTTAGCTATATAATATGTGAGTGTATATTCTTTTTGACTTAATGCATAAAATAGTAAATGACTGATTTAGCCTTGTTGTTGCAGGATTTGCTGAGAAGTAAGAGACATAGGGCACAGGTGGGATTTCCATTGCTGTTTGTATTAAGACTTAATATGCTAAAATGCATTTTAAATATAAAGCAGACATGTTGAATATTTTTATTATACTCCATATATAGAAGAGTGGCTTTTAGATCCATCTGTCTTAACTGATTTTCAAAGATTGCTTGATTTTCTTGCTAGCTTACTTGAATAGCCACGTTCCAAGGTATTCTTTTATTTATTAAGTTGTTGCTTAAAAGTTAATATTTGCTAATTTTTAATGATTTATGCTTTTTTTACAGCCAATACTGTTGAGTGAAGGGGTTGTTCAGATGTTATCTAAAGTTCTTAATACTTCACACAAACTTAATTGGTGCATTCCTGTGTATAGGTCGATTTCTCTACTATCTAATTCTAGGTGAGTTTTTTTTTGTTAATATTTTTCTTAAAAATATCTATTAAGAATAATCTTTTGTTTTGTTTGTAGGAACAATGCAAAGATATTGACAGCAGAGGATGGTTACTGGACAATGCTACTTATTCTCAGTTTGGGCAAATTTCAGGTAGGTTACTACATATATTTGGCCCTGATGGTTGGATAAGAATGCTCGCTTTGATGTAGTAATCAGTTTAGTATAGATGATTTTTTATTCTTTATTTTTGGTTGAATTTTACAATACAGTGAGAGAATGTGAAGAATTCATAATCAATATTTTTTTTTCAATTTCATTAAGAGTTTGTCACCTTGTTTTTCAGTATGAACATTTTAAGTTGCAAAATATGATGAGAAGGAAGTTGCTGAGTTAATGGAAATGACTATTTTGCTGCTGTTGAGAAAATGAAAGAAGGTAATTGGTTATGATTGAAGCATACTAACGAGCAAACAAATTGTTTGTTGATTATGGTGAGATTAGGTTATCTTATTCCCCTTCATGTTTCCCTTATATTCCTACTTTTCTTGTTCCTTTAAATATAACATTGTTGTTATATCTAAATTCTCTTAGCCCCAATAAGAGCAAGTTTACTTGTCTTGTTGCCAAAAAAAGCTTTTGAACTTGGTTTGGAGGTACTTTTAGTTTACATTTCTCTAAATATTCTATATATTTATGCTATGTATTCTGTTTGGTTTAACAAGTATTTATTGCTATGTATGTCATGTATTCTTTCTGGTAAGCTTAAGGGTAGATTTTACTTTTTATTTTTTTGTAGTTATATAATTTTATAAATATATTGTAGGTTGAGTAAATTCCGCATGAGCAATTGCCTTCACTCAATGATAAGCTAATGAAGTTCTTGGATCATCTGGTAAGAGGCTTTTCTTTATTATTTATTATCATTGGTAATCTATTCCTTCAATTGTTTTTTGCTATTTTCTTTTTACAGGATCGTACATATTATATCACATCTATTAGTATACATATGCATTTTGATGTACTTATAAATGCTGTTGATTGTGTGATTAATAAAAGCTTTTTTGTTTCAGGTAATGTTCAAGTCATTACTTGCCCTCTACACCCGGTGGACAACAGCCAATTTTTTGACATGAAGGATTTTTTTTGACATGATATCTGAAACAAGGCGTCCCTTAATAGCAATGTAGTATTAGGTTATATAGTTAGGGAAAACCTCTTAATAACAATGTACAATCAGATCCCCTTAATACCAATGTATTACAATTTTTTGACATGATGTTATGGATGAAATTGATTGTTTTGGTATATATTTGTTTCCATATTTTTGTATTATGCGTAAATGAGTATCGTAAAGACGAATCGTAAATGTATATCGTAAATGGTTGCTGAAGTTTATGAAACGCAAATGTGTGTCATCTTCATTTATGACAGGGGTTTTAATGATACACAATGTGTGTCCTAAACGTGTGTCATAAAGTTACGACACGCAAATGCGTGTCGTCTTCCTTTATGACATGGGCTTCATTGATACGCATTACGCGTCGTAAATGCGTGTTGTAAATGTGTGTCGTAAATGCGCTTCGTAAATGCGTGTCATCTATAGACAAAGCGCAAAAGCGTGTCGTCTCTCGTTATGACAGGGTCTTCCTTGACACGCATTTGCGCGTCGTCTGAGCGTTTTACGACACGCATTGCGCGTCGTAAAAGGCTGTTTTTCTAGTAGTGTCAGTAAACAGGTACATCCACGAGTTTTTGAGAAGACGGAGCTTCATAGACTCATGTCTTTTAACTTTTGTTATACATTGTTGGTGTCGATATACAATGATTTGAACACATATGTAATAACTTATACTTTATCAATACATGGTTTTTGTACTTTGATTACTATTATGAAATTGTAAAAGGCTGTTTTTCTAGTTTTGATACTGTACATGACGTCCTCCGCCCCCGAACGTTTCCACCGTTCCGGTTTAGGGGTGTGACAGATTGGTAACAGAACTTTGTTTATAGTGAACTAAGTATATCAAACCATAAAAGATATACAACTATAAATACGATGGGGCTAAAGCGCTCTGACTAAAAGTATACTTTTAAAATCTAAGTATTTTATAAGAAGTATACTAACATGCATACATACAAGAATCAGTATCACAGTGAGAACTACATAAAAGAATTTAGATGTTGAACACTACAGTTAAACCAGGACAGTTATGTAATCATATCTGGGATAAATATAGCCTGATCAACTATATTTATTTGAGATACGACCAACATGTGTTTGGGAGTAATCGTGGTGTTGCAACAAGTGTAAAACCTACCAAACCTATGTATCAGAAGAACTCTAAGAACCAAACATAAAGATAAAATACTATAGGAGTAGTTTATGATATTATAAGAATCGTAATAATAATATCTAGGCTTTAACATATATCATACTCTTGAGTTTTCATATATCTCTATTCTCGCACAGACACAATGGCAGGATTTCATCTACATGGAGATCCTTATTTTCCAAATCAAGGCAATGGTGGTTGGATTGTAGAGGATCCGGAGGAGGATCCTGAAGAAATAATGGAAGTTGAAGATGAAGAAGATTCGGAAGGATCGGACGCGGATCCTAAGGTCTACAATCCACCACAGAAGGATCAACACCCCATAGTCAGACAGGATTTTCAAGGACCAACGCCAAGATGGGCCGTAGATTTACACAACTGGAGTCAAGAACAAGGCCAACGCCCTCATTTCGGAATGGAAAGAGGCTTCTATAACCTTGATGGGGGAGGCTCAACAGATAGAGCCCTCCCTGTATTAGTACGTCGTGTTGCTCGCCATGATGGACAAACGAGAGAGGCCATCAACCGAATCGTGGAGGTTAGTGCTACCACTGAAGTCAACACGATTCGTATTCACTACCTAAACGAAGACTATGATCAGACCAGGAACCACACTGAAGCTCTTATAGAAGAGATGATTGCTTCCCGAACCGAAATAAGAGCACTTCGGGAGCATCAGGTTACATTAGAGAGGCGTTTGATGGAAGCAGAGCGCCATGTGGCAGAGTCTAGTACTCAGGGCAGCGCCCGCCACGAGTAGTGTTTAGACTACTCACATTTTTTATATAAACTAGGACTACGGATATGCGTTAGACACTACCTTATGTATATATAAACTTAACCTTGTGTCTAGGTGTTTATACTATTCAGGGAATCTTAATGCTGTCAGGATTTACCTTTAAACTTTGATGTATTATAGACCTGTACCGAGGTCAAATTTTCCAAAAACACTATGTATCAAATATATCAAAGAAATTGACAAACATTTTAGTTAACACTTATTTCATGACTTCATGATTTCAACTTACCTACTTATGGTAATCTATAATTACTTATTGTAATTTTAGAGAGACCTGGTATAGAATACACTATACAAATTTGTTACAAGTATTGTTATAATAGCATCGACGATTTTTTACTTATATTAGTAGACTTTTATTATAAATAGCAGAACACTATGAAAGTCAGGATATGATATGTTTACAACTAAGATATATCTTGTTCAATACCACCTGACTTGTAACTACTATAGAGAACTTAACATCTTTTCCTCTTCAAACTTTGTAGAAAAAGATGTCGCCACGTAAATCAAATAGGCGTTTCAACAATAAT